CCCAGGCTGAAATGCAGTGGCATGCTCACGGCCATCGTAGTCTCAACCTGCTGGGCTCAGACAACCCTTCCATCTCAGCCTTCCAAGTAGCTGGAACTACAGGCACGCCCTACCACGCTTGGCTAATTTTTTTGATATATTATAGAGGCGAGGTCTTGCCGAGTTGCCCAGGCTGGTCTCGAACCCCTGGGCTCAGGCAATCCTCTCGCCTCAGCCTCCCAAATTGCTGGGACGACAGGCTTGAGCCACCGCACCCGGCCTCAGGCCTCTTCTGTTTCTTCTTTATTTTTTGAATTGGAGTCTCACTCCATTGCCCAGTCTGGAGCGCAGTGGCATGCTCACAGCCACCCCAGCGTTGACCTGCTGGTCTCCAGTGATCCTTCCGCCTCAGCCTTCCAAGTAGCCGGAACTACAGGGTGCTACCACCCTTGGCTAATTTTTATCTATCTATCTATCTATCTATCTATCTATCTATCTATCTATCTATCTATCTACCTATCTATTTTATCGTAGAGACGAGGCCTCGCTAAGTTGCCCCGGCTGGTCTTGAACCCGCGGGCTCAGGCCATCCGCTCGCCTCGGCCACCCAAAATGCTGGGATGACAGGCTGAGCCACCCAGCCCGGCCAGAGCGCACCCAAGGACTTTGGGAGAGATACAAGTGGTGATGGCGCCCTCTAGTGGATGCTCATCAGAAGTCAAACGCGTCTAAACCTTCCAGGGCACGACAGGCCTCTCTGCGGGTGAACATGACCCTGAAGGCTCTCACACGTGTCACCTCAAGTACACACACCGTTTTTAGAGGAAGCTCTCCAGGCGTCTGTTTGTTTCATCACATCCAGCAGGTGGAGGCCTTGGCTACAGAGGCCGTCGCACTTGATCTCTGACCACGGGCCTCCCAGGCAGCAACAGGCCAGAAAAGTCAGCGCTCCCGGGGTGGTGACGCCCTGCCCAGAAAGCCTTTGCCAGCCCCGGTCACACTGTGGATGCACCACTGTCGCTTCTCTGGAGCTCCCTCTCCTCCATTTTCTCGGGGTCGCGGTGTGCAGATCCATCCGCTGACCTCTCGCCTCTGAAACGCTCCGGGACACCGTGACTTCGTATCCCGAGTCTGAATGGACCCACACCAGCCAAGGCGCATCTCAGAGAAGCCGGCAGGTTGTCCTCGACCTCCTACACGTGAATGGAGCCTGGCAGTCACCGAACCCCGTCACGGATGTGACTCCACTGTGCTCTCCCAGCGAGCACAGTGTAGCGTCTGATTCAGCTTGTCCCGATCTCACTCACGCTGCCCCAGCAACAGGCGGGCTTTGTATTCTGAGGGTGAGCTGAGAGGGACAGACCCTTCTCTGTGGCCCATAGGGCCAGAGTCCAGGCCCCGGGTTCGGTCAGGACCGTGGCCTGGGCCTTGGGGACCCTCAAAAATGAGGCTGAGGGATCCCACTCTTCCTTAACAGAAAGAGAAAGTCCATGTGGCCCATCCCGTAAGAGCGATGATGGTGCTGCTGGTTGACACGTGTGCACGCTGGAAGACACACGCTTGTGCTTCCTGATGGCCAGGCACAGCACGCACTCCAGCGACAGCAGCTCATTTCATTCCCCCAACTCCACTGCGTCGCAGGTAATCCACACACCAGCCATTCTGGCCTGGATACAGAAGCACGTTAACACCAGACAAAGTCACCTGGTTACCATGGCTGTCTGCCACAGATTATAGCTGCTTAGCAGCTTAACGCAGCTGGTGTGGTTAGTCCCCTCTCCAGAGATCTTTTTTTTTTCTTAAGTTGGCGTCTCACTCTGTCACCCAGGCTGAAATGCAGTGACATGCTCACGGCCACTGCAGCCTCAACCTACTGGACTCAAACAACCTTTCCACCCTCAGCCTTCCAGATAGTTGGAACTACAGGCACGTGCTACCACGCCTGGCTAATTTTTTTATGTACTGTAGAGACGAGGTCTCGCCAAGTTGCCCAGGCGGGTCTTGAACCCCTGGGCTCAGGCAGTCCTCTTGCTTCAGCCTCCCAAATTGCTGGGATGACAGGCTTGAGCCACCATGCCTGGACTCAGAGCTCTACACGGATCTCCCGAGGTGAGAGGAGAGGGCTTCTGTCTTCCATCACAGACATGGAAATCAGAGCTCAGTTGTCCGTGAGACAGAGTTGCAGGTACAAGACTTACTACGCGGGAAGACCCTGGAGGGGGCATTAGGTTTGGTTTCCCGTGTCCAGGTGAGCTGACTAGGAAGACGTGAGGAGTCTCGATGTGTGTCATGCAGTCTCCAGGCTCTCAGCCCTAAGCTCTGTCCCCTCTCCCATGCCATGGCCGCCACGCACTTGAGTGGATGAACAGGCTGGGGGTTCTCCCCCTCGATGGCCGGGGAGGCTCCATGGTCATCGGCCACCCGGATGAGTTCAAGAAGCAGAATCCGTCAAAGACCAGCCCCAAATCTCCCAGAGTGTCCTTGCAAATTGGTTCTCTGCCGCCTCCCCCTGACAACAAAGACAAGGTGTGGATTCCGAAGACGGCAGAGAGCAGGGGTGGCCGAGGACACCCAGGGACATCAGCCCTCCTGCTCACAGCACGAGTGGCCGTCCTCCTTCACCCGTCCACTCTGGACAAGGCCTCCCTGGCCCTTCCCAGGAGCTTTGGTGGTGGTGTCCTCAGCCTCCCAGAAGTTTCTTCTTTTCCCCAGAATGATTCGGGGTCCTTCTGCGGGTGCCTCCGTGAACCCACCTTCTTCTTCCGCACTGTCTCTGCCCCAAGGCGCTTGGTCTCCTGCTTTTCATTTTGGTGCAGCTTCCACCGGATGTCACGTCCCAGCTGGCGTCAGGGACAGTCACGTCCCCAACTTTCCCAGAAGTGGAAAGAGAACCTTCCAGACAATCTCTCCGTACTGCTCTGTAGCCATAGGCTTGGGTGGAGGTCTCTGGCCCCAGGGCACTTTGGGGTTCTCTGGCTACTCTGCTTACGAGTGTCCTGTCACCTGGCCAGCCGAGAAGCAGACCCACTTCTCTCCGGCGTGAGTGGAAAGGATGAGGGCGGCGAAGAGGCGCGAATGCAGCCAGGCGTGCCTGTGTGGACGATGAGAAGAGAGAGACTGAGCATGCGACACAGACACTCCAAGGCTCCCTCTCCGGCTTGGGGTCAGGAAGACAGAAGGCACAGGGGCAACGACGGCGGCCCTCTTCCCCGCCGTGTCCTCCAGGAAAGATGTGGAGCTGGCAGCCCTGTCAGTCATGTGGGACCCGCGCTGAGCCAAGGAGCGTAGTGGGTGGACGGCTGCAGAGTCTGTGCCCAGGGCCGGGTTCACCGCCAGGCCAGCCTCGGGGAGGGGAGGCGCCCAGCCTCCAACAGGGCCCAGGGTGGGGTCCGGCTTCCAGGGCCCGGCTGCTGGCCTGGCTCCCTCTGCTTTCTCCCCACGCCCCTCAGACTCACACCCTGGAGTCGCCCTGGTCCCCTACACATCCCTCCCGTGACACACCCTTCGACGCGAGCCTGATCTGTCCCCTCTCACCACCTCCACGGTGACAGCCTGGCCCAAGCCACCTTCAGCTCTTGCCTAGATCATTCAAACAGCCTCCTCACTGGAATCTGTAGAGATTCAAGCCCCATCACGTCACATCTCTGCTCAGAAACCTACAGCAATGGCTTCCCCTCCAACTCGGGGCACAAGCAGCGTCCTGTAAAGCCTCCTCTGACCACCCGGCCATCTCCGGCCTCGCCTCTTGCTACTCTCTTGTGTGCTGCACGGCCTCCTTGCCATTTTTGGAACATGCCAGCAACCCACCCACCTCAGGGTATTTGCCTGTGCTACTCTGAGGGGCATGTCTCCAAACCCTCCCCAGGCCCTCCTATCTACATGGCAAACATTACCTTCTAGGTAAGTCTGTCTTCGTCTCTCCTATTTTAAGCCACTCTCCACACCCCACCCCCATACACATACACATTCCTGCTATATTCCTTGGCCCCTTTTCTTGGTTTTCTTCTTTTGCCTATAGACACCCAGCAGTCAATAGGTTTTAGTAATTTATTGTATTAATTGTGTATGCTCCACCAGAACTTAAACCTCATATGGGTTTGGGTTCTTGATGCTTTTATTCATAAGTGAATCTCCAGCACCTAGAAAACTACCCAGCCCATAGTAATCACTCAGTGAACACTCGTTGAATGAACGGATGAGCAAATGAATGTGAGACAACCACATGGAAAATAGACCCTCGCAGGAGATGTCAGAATTACTGGGTTAATTTCATGAGATGAGAAGCCTGGCAAAGAAAGCAAATGTGTGTGTGTGTTTTGCAGGGATGTCTGACACCACCTTCACTTGTAGTAAACAATGTGTGAGCCCTGGATGGCTTATGTGTGGTTGAACTGTATGTATTAACCAGAGCCAACGCTTCATTCATTCGTCCCCTCACTCATTCATTCACCACTTTATGAGTGACAGTTCTGTATCAGTGCTCTGCTAGACATGAGGAGGACATGTGGCTAAGGACACGATCCCTGCTGCCTAGACTTCTTCGGTGTGATATTGAAAACCTGGCGCTTGGGTGACCCGAGAGGGTGCAGACATCAAAGCAAACCGGAACCCAGCAGCACCTAATTAGGAAAGTCCCATCAGTGCAAGAAAGTCACCCTAATGGGTTTTGCCACCAAGAGGAAAAGATACTTGGGTGAGTGGCTACCAGCGGGACTGTCCCCCTCCTGAGATCCCGGAAGAGGACAGGGTTGACCGTTGAGGGACTTCCCAAAAGCAGTTACTCCCTTTCGAGAGTGAACAGCTGTCAGCTACAGGAAGAGCCATGTGGGTGACTAGAAAGAGCATCCTCACTGCACCTGGAAGACCACCACATGGGTTGAGTCACTGCAGATGGTGATCTGTGGGTGGCGGGGCACCCGGAGGGTGCTCTGGAGTCTCGGATACCTTCTCACTGTGGTCAAGACCACTTGCCTCGTCCGCCTGGCTTCGCTGTTGTTTTCACGCCATGTGACACACACCTCTGGGACTTTGTCAGGTGTTTATTTGTTATTCCTCCACAGCCGCCCGTGTCCCAGGTGGGTCTACAGCACAGCCATGCACCTTCCAGAATCCCTTACCTCCCCGGAGCCGGTCTCTTTTGCCCACGCCACTAGCTTCCACCCTCGCCCTGCAGTCTCACCCCCACATTCTGGGCCCCATCTTTAACGCCAGCGGGTCCAGTCTCAGCTTTTTCTGGCCTGGTTGCTGTTCGTGGAGGCCAGCAGGGAGGTGTCAGGACAGGTCACCCAGGCAATAGGTCTCATCTCTGAAGAAGTCGAGGGTCCTGCCGCCGTCTGCATAGGTCTCCTCGCTGGGACCACCGTGCCAGCATCTTCCCTGCCAGGGAAGCAGGACAAAAGGAAGTGTGGTAAGCAATGAGAGTTGGATGCATATGGGGTGGACCCAAGAAGCCTGGGAATGCCAGCTTTTTTCCTCACCCCTCTGGCACCTGCCTGGCGGTCCCTTCCTGGGGCCCCCACCGGGCCCTCTGGTTTGCTCAAACTGTACCTCCTGTCACCACCCACTTGGTCCAGCAACCAACCAGCAGCTGCTGAGCACATGCAACCCGAAGTCCTTTCTGTACACATTGTCTTTAACGCTGCTCTGTCTTCAATTCTCCACTTTTAATGGCCCTGAGTCCAGGAATCAAGCCCAAGCCATCTGCTTGACTTCCAGGCCCCATCAAGTACAACCTCACCCGCTCTGTCCAGCTGGTCTTCCTGCCGCCTAACACCTGCCACTGTCCACGTCAGTCGCGGGGGCCCCTCTGGGACCTGGGTGGACATCAGTGTCAGGTCGGGTGCGTTCCTTCCCCACGAAGAGCACCCAGCCCTTCCTTTGCGCCACCCTTCAGAATGTTCTCTCGGGCGCCCTCCCAGTGGCTGAGTGCCTGCGTCTCTCCGGCCCAGCTTAGCCCCCACTTCCGTAAGCCTCTCTGGTCAGCCCCAGTGTGACTGATCTCTGTCTCTCTCTCTCTTTCTCTCTCTCTACTCTGACTTCCCACTGGCTTCACTATCTGGCCCACAGGTATGTCGTTGTTTTCTACAGGAAAGAACATGAGATTTTCAGCCCAAAGTCCTGTGTTCAACATTCGCCTCACTCAGGCCTTGGGCAAACAAAGTTGTTCAACTCCTGGCTTAACCTCTCGCTGCCATGCGTGGGTCTCTGTGACTACTGCAAGGCCCTTCAAGAGCAATTTGGCATCTAGCTCAACAAACCAACCATCACCCACATTTCTGTTTCTGCACGAGTGAAACAGGGGTGACAGCCATGAGGTGTGTTCCAAGCTCCTTGGGGCTACTCCAAGGACCAGGTGCTGTGAACCTGTTTTGGAAAAGGTAAAGGTTTGCCAGACTCCGGCTGAGATCATGCTGGTGCCTATGTGGCAGCTCCTGCAGAAGGGAAGGACTGAGAATTTGTCATTTCAGTTATTTGGAAGCACGCCCAAGGGTCCATAAGATGGAGCGACGCGTCATCCTCCAAGCGTGCAACTTAACCCTAAAGCAAACGGCCAGCCTGAGTGCCAGGGCAGCAGTTGGCCTGGTGACGCATCAGACGCACAAGGGCATTGTCCAGGTGTGGCTTGCTGGTTTCGTAATAACTTTGTGAGTATTAACACCAGCTAAACAGGAAAAAAGAAAAAGAAATGAAAAAAACATTTGTGTGTCTGTGAAATTCACCAGTGGTCATCAAGTGAAAGACAACACTTGCAAATGGTCAAGCTACAAGGTGTTTGTTTGTTTTTTTTCTTTTTCTTTTGCACAGAAAAATCTAATCATTCTTCCCACATGCGACTGAGGAGATGCCTGGACAGGCACGTCTGCATTCACAAGTGTGGAGTTGCAGCAGGTGCCTGGATGCACCTTCCAAATGCCAAGGGTAAGCACGAGACTCCATTCTCAGGCTACAAATGTAAGTGACACATCTCCAGCTTTATCCCCGACACCCTTACGGCTCCACCCACGTCTCAGGGAACAGGCTCACATGTTCCCGGGGAATTCACGATAATTTTTACATCAGCCCAAAGGAAACGTCATTGGGGAGGTCCATCTGACCTAAAGTTAAAAATGGCAGATTGGAATAATGGCCTCCAGCTGCATCCACGTTGCTGCAAAGGACATAATTTAGTTCCTTTTTATGGCGACGTGGTGTTCCCGCTTATAAGCGGGAACCGAGTACTGGGTGTACACAGACATGAAAATAGGAACAGCAGACGCTGGGGAACTCCTAAAAGAGGGGCCTGGGTTGAAAACCTACCTGTCGGGTGCCATGCTCACGATTTGGTTGATGAGTCAACAGAAGCCCAAACCTCACCACCATCCAACATACTCATGTAACAAACCTACACTCCTTGTCTCCGTACCCCCTGAATCTAAAGGAAAAAAAGTCAGATTTAAGAGCTTTTTTACCCCTCTTCCCTGAAACCTCACTCAAATAAGAGTGAGGGAAATCTTTACAGAGGGAAGGAGGAGGTATTACAAAGACAAATAAGTCAGAAGAGTGGATGAAGCAATTAAAATTCGGTTTGCAGAGGATGGACAGCCACTGGAATAGCAGCACTTGACTTAGGGGAGGGGCAGCATTTAGACCTGAGTGCCTGCCTGCTGATGCCAATGAGGCACAGTTGATTTGTCCCTAGGACACCCTCAGGAGGTGGAAGGATCCAGGACGTTAGAAGCAGGATGGAAGGTCAGAACTAAAAGTGGTTGCAGTCACACACACCCTTCCAGCTCTCCTCAACAATCTCACAAAGCCAAGCCACTACCCATCTCACCGCCCTGGGAAAAGATGGGACGTTTGTTCTGGAAAAGTTGAACCAGGAAGGCCTGGATTCAGAAACCTGCCACCATGGGAGGGACTGTCCTGAAAGCTGGGGCTAAGTGTGATGGATAAGCCATCCGAATGCTGAATGGTGAGAGAGTCAGCTACCCCACTTCCCCTACTCTGCTCCCAGAATGGTGTTAAGCAGGCACTTGGAGAACTTTTACTGGAGAAACCAAAGGATTTCAAGAAAAAGAGGGCCTTCAGACGTTGGCGTCTGGGGGCCCCAGTGAGACAGCCTGGGCCCGGTTTCACGAGCCTGAGGTGAGTTCAGCACTCAATAAGCCCCACAGACACAGAGATTCCAGTAAACTTATTAGCACCCCGCTCTTGCAAATGAACAGAGATCCTCAGACTACAAACATGTGATGAAAGTCTCCATCAGCTCAAAACCAACACCAGAAACTCAGAGTAAACAGAAAATACCAGGAGTAGGAAAATATATTAAAGGACTATTCTATCCCTGAAACAGAAACAGGCTACTAAAAAACAAATAAATAAAAATGAAACCATTCAAGAAGAAGAGAATAATTCTTGGAAATTAAAAATATGATAGCCAACATTTCAGTAGAAGAGCTAGAAACTCCAGTTGAGGAAAGAGCCCAGAAAGTAGGACAAAACTATGATGGAAAAGAGTAGAGAAAACATAGGAAATCTGAGAACCAGCCCAGGAGATCCAAAGTCTGATAAACAGAGTTCTGGAAAAAGAGAACAGGAAAAAAGAATGGAAGAATATTATCCCCCCAAAATCAAAATGTTTAAGAATCGAAAAACATACATTTCCCGACCAAGAGTATCCACTGAACGCCCATAAAAACAGATAAAGACAGACTTACATCAAGGTATAGCATTGTGAAATTTAGAAATGAGGATGACATCAGACGTTACCAAAAGCATCGCTAGATGTCAGGAGGCAAAGGGGGTGGTTTTCAACTTAAAATGCTATTCTCATCCAAAGCAGAAAACGACCGTTGGCAGAGGGGTGAGGAAAAGCCTTGGATGACAGATAGTCAAGGGGTGTCCTAGGAGGCCTAGACCACACCAAAGCAGGAGGTCGGAGGGGTCCCCAGAAGTGAAGGTTGATGGTGAGAGATAGCCCAGCGTGTCTGCACATATTGGGAGGACATTTACATTTCTGGTGGGAAGTTTACTGAGCCCTACTCCCCATTTGGGTATCAAATAGTGCCAGGTATACAGAAAACTAAGCAACAAGAAAGAATACATTTATTAACTCCAGAGTAAAAGAAAACTTAGTACAAAAAAGGAAATTGAAATATAGCACACACACACACTATGTAGCTCAATGAGAAACGATGTGTACAGTCACAATAATGTAGGACTGAATACTGAGCTCAAAAATATGACATTTAAACCACAGTGGGTTGAGAAGGGCGTGTGTCTATACTCTGGGTCATGGAAGAAAGCTAGATGCTTATATTCCATAGTAGAAAGTCAATTTTTCTAAGACTTAAAAAAATTGAAATTCAAAAGCAATGTGTCTTACAGGTTGAACATCCCTAAACCAAAAATCCAAAATGCTCCAACATCTGACATTCATTGAATGCCACCATGAAATAGTGACATCTTTGCTTTCTGGCAATCCAGCATACACAAACTTTGTTTCATGCACCAAATTGTTCACAATATTGTATAAAATTACCTTTAGGCTACATGTATAAGGTGTCTACGAAACGTAAATGAATGTTGGTTTTATTCTTGGGTCCCATCCCAAGAGATCTCATTATGTATATGTAAATAAGCTAAAAAAAATAAAATTAAAAATCCAAAACACTTCTGGTCCCAAGTATTTGAGATAAAAGATACACAACCTGTACCGAGAAATCCAGTGGTCAATCTAGAAGAAACAGTGAAAGAGTGGAAAGAAATTGTTTCGAAAGATGCAAGAAAGGGACGGGGGCAGGGTAGAGGATTGTCACTGTTGATTCTAAGTTTTATTGAAATATTTCGTCTTTTTAAGCTTTGACTAATATTTTAATTTAAAGGAAAAGAAATGGTACATGAAAATGTCCCCAAACACGAGTCTCCTGATTGAAAAGCCCAAGTTTTAGGGTTGCCAGATTTAACAAAAGCCAATGAAACTTTGAGTTTCCAATAAACAGTAATGTTTTAATATAAGTATGTCCCAAATATTGCAAAAATTACCCTAGTTTATCTGAAATTCCAGTATAATAGGCATCCTCTGTTTTGTCTAGCAAGCTTACGTCCAACACATCCACAACAAGGCATGTAACTGTGATCACAAAGCACCAGGGAAAAGAGAAAATCTTAACAATCCTTCCAGAGAGAAAAAAGTTCACGTACAAAGAAATTGGAAAAGTGTTGACTTCTCATGGCCAGGTTAAAAGTTAGGAAGCAGCAGACCAATACCTTCAAATTTCTAAGAAACAAACGGTATCTGTTCTGGAATTTAACATCCATGCAATCATTCACGAACTTTGAAAACTGAATAAAGGTACTTTTAGGCATGAAATTCAAAACTGTACTTCCCACTTACC